GGGGAGGCCTGGCCGGCGTCGCCCCGCGGCCGCCTCACGCCGCTGTCCCGCTCGCGCAGCTCAACGCCGAGGGCACCGTGGACGAGGTGTTCAAGCAGGTCTGCTCCTACCTGGACGCGCTGTAGCCGCACGCGCCYGCCCCGGCCCTGCCGCACAGACAGCGGAAGCGGCTTCATCCTGTTTTCGTGGACGGAGCCGCGCGGAGGAAATTTCAAGGACATTGTGTTTGGCTCTTTCCCGTCTCTCCCCAGTAAAGTTCACTTTAATGAGCCCAGACTTTATCTTTTTTTCTTCTGCCTCAGGAAATGAGTTTTTCTTTCCAGAAATTTTTCTGTCCCCCCCCCCCTTCCCTCCGCACACCCCTTTCTGCAGCTGATTACGGGCAGGAAACGGGCTGTTTATCCTGCCCGGTGGCATCACGGCCAGGGGGAGCGGGATGCTGCGCTCGGAGGAAGGGAGGGAGCATCCCAGCCACCTCGGCTGAGCCCTGGGGATGTGAGGGGCCCATGGACACCTCCTCRCAGCCCAATCCCCCATCCCGGCAGCCCAAATCCCACCCCACAGTCCCCACGTGTGCCCTGGCTCCCTGCACACTGAGGCTGAGAGGCTTCAGGCCAACGCTGTTGGTTGTGCCCAGGGTCTGGTGCATCCCCCCTTCCTGACACTCCGTTATCCTGGGATGGRAATTTCCACCACTTTTCCACCCCTGGCTGCTCCCTTGGCTCTCACCCCGGGAGCAGTTTGGGGCACCCGACCCCAGGGCGAGTTGGGGCTGTCACCGCGGGACACAGGGGCATTTCGGTTGCAGCCCCGGGGSAGCTCTGGCTGCCACGGGGGCTGTCTGGCCGCGCTCCGGGCGGRCGCTTTCCCGGTCTGGGGCCGCTCTTGGCGGCTTATGGCTGGGGCAGGAGCGGGCAGAGCCGTGACCGCGACCTGCCCTGGCACCGCTGCCTTTGGGCTGCCGTAAATCAGGCGAAGAGCGAAGCAAAGGCCAGGGGAGAGGCGGCTGCTTGGAAGCTGCTGAGATGGTGTCGAGGAAGGAAATGCCTGAGGGGGCGGGGGGAAGAATCCCAAAGAAAACATTAATGCTGATGGATGCCGGAGGGAAGGAGCCTGCTGCAGACAGGGATGGTCACAGGGTCACCTGGGCATGAGGCAGGGGATTTGGGGCACAATGGGTTCGGGGACTGTGGAGGGGGATGGGTCCATAAGCTGTGCCCTGTCCCTGGTGCTCCCATCCCATTCCCATGACGGATGGTGCCGTGAGCCGCAGTGGGAGGAAGGCACCGGCCATCCGTTGGCAGGTCGCTGGGGGCCTCCGCTCATCCCTGCGCAGGAGCYGGGAGCAGCCAGTGCAGGAGGGCGATGGGATGGGGATCCCCGTCTCCATCCCCATCCCGAGCACCCGTGYGTGCTGTCCCCAGGAGAGGGCACTGCTCCGTCACGGGACACATCGGCCTGCTGCCTGCAGCTCCGGATGGTCCCAGGGGACACCGGGCTGGCCAGGACAGGCCTGGCYATCTTGCTCCCTGCCTCTCTTCCTACCTGGGCTCCTCACAACCCTGATCCAGCCTCTGCCCAGCTCCMGCCTCCCTCTGGATACCCCATCCCCCTGGCTCCCAGGACAAGACCCTCTTGCAGGAGGGGGCTTGCGGCTCCCAAGGGACCAAGCCCGGCCACGTCCATCCTGCTGCCCACCAGGCGTGAGGGACTGAGATGCCCGGATGGGACGCGCCCCTCCACCCAGGACACATGGGGAAGCTGCGTCACGCTGCTTGTCCCGGTCACCCCGCCGTGGGGCTGGGGGGCCCCTCCGGCACCATGTCCTCAAGCGCGGCGATGGGGGCCAGCCCTAAGCGCGGCTCCGCRCGGGCCGGCCCTCCCCGACCTCCCGGCGCGGCTCCAGGCCTCTGCGAAGCGGCATTTCCTCCCCGCTCTTGGCAGCCGCTCGGCTCCGCGGACCCTCCTCTAAAAGGGAGTTGATTTCCTGCCACCGCAGGTCATCAGCCCCAGCGCAGCGCCGGGCTCGCGCACTCGGGCGCTGCCGCTGCCACCGCTGCTACCACCACCGCTGCCACCGTCACTGCCACCGCCGCTGCCGCCGAGCCGCCACCGGGCACCGCCGAGGCTGGAGCGGGGAAGCCTCCCCTGCCTCCACGTCCTCGGGCTCCAGCCGCTGCCCGCCGCGGCCCAGCCCTCGCTCTTGGATCCGGGCTAAGGGCCACGGAGCCGCGGGCAGGCAGCATGGGCGCCCCGAGGTGCCGCGTGCCCCCCRCGCCACCGCTGCCGCTGCTGCTGCTGCTGCCGGCGCTGCTGTGCTGGGCGCCCGGCCGCGCCGGTGAGTGCTGCCGTGCGCGGGGGGACGCGCGCACACTGGCGGGGTGTCCCCAGCCCCCTCTGCTCTCTTTGCCCTTCTTTCTCTTGGCACTGGGTGCTCCTCCCTGTCCCCGTGTCCCCCGTGTCCAGTGGCACCCAGGGAGAGACTGCTGGGACGGGACTGGACGGCCTGGGATGRGGTGGATACAGAGCGGCTCCTGGGTGGCCCAGGCCCCTGGGAGGGAGGTCCCAGGCAGGCAGGGCCTCTGGGAGGCCCTGGTGTTTTGGGGAGCAACCCCCCACTTTGGAGGCCTGCGTAAATCTGCGCCTCGGGRCCGGGCGGCGCGGAGCCGGAGCTGCACAGCGGAAGCGGCATTGTGCAATGCCGGGAAGAGCAGGGAGGGCGGCCGCGCTGGCGGCGCCCCGGCCCCGCCGTCCCCGCCCGGCGCCGCCGAGGGCCGCGCCGCCGAGCAGCGCAATGGCCGCACGGCGCGGTGCGGCCGGGCGCGCGCGACGCTTGGGCCGCGGCCCCGCTGCGTTTCCTCACGCGCGGGGAGGGAATGAGCCCTGCTCCGGGTGCACGAGCGGCCGGGCGCTGCGTGGGGGAGCGCCAGCACGGGGCCCGGCACGGGAGGCAGCGTCTCCTGCAGGACTGCCTGGGGTCTGGGGCTGGCACCTGGTGTTCAGAGGCTCCACAGGGGTGTTGAATCCTGGGGATAAGGAGGGAGAGATGCCTGCCAGCTCGGGAACCAGCCCCCTCTTGCATCCAACCCCCTGGCTTTGGGCTTGGGGGAGCCAAGGCCCCCACAGGTCCCATGGTACGAGGAGCTGTGGGGACACAGGACAGAGACAGGCCAGTGTGACCCCAGGGAGCTGCGAGGACATCCTGGGTGCCGGGAAGAGGGCAGCACCCAGACTGGGGAACAGAGCTCCTGTCTCAGGTATCCCCCTCGCAGGGCCCGGGCGCTGGGTCAGGTCTGGCCAGGACATGCCTGCTCCTGGGCCTGGCACAAGGTCCCTGCTGGCTACAAGCTCCAGGAATGGCTATGTGTTGACCTGTAGCAGGGTCACACGGTCCCTGTCCCACGTAGCTGTGCCACGAGGTCCCTGTCCCTTGCGGCCGTGCCATGCAGTCCTTGTCCCACATAGCTGTGCCACGAGGTCCCTGTCCTACACAGCTGTGCCACGCAGTGCCTGTCTCACATAGCTGTGCCGTGAGGTCTCTGTCCTGCACGGCCGTGCCACACAGTGCCTGTCCCATGTAGCTGTGCCACGAGGTCCCTGTCCCGTATGGCTGTGCCATGCAATCCTTGTCCCATGTAGCTGTGCTGTGAGGTCCCTGTCGTGGCCRTGCCACACAGTSCYYGTCCCATGTAGCTGTGCCACGAGGTCCCTGTCCCGTATGGCTGTGCCATGCAATCCTTGTCCCATGTAGCTGTGCTGTGAGGTCCCTGTCGTGGCCRTGCCACACAGTSCYYGTCCCATGTAGCTGTGCCACGAGGTCCCTGTCCCGTATGGCTGTGCCATGCAATCCTTGTCCCATGTAGCTGTGCTGTGAGGTCCCTGTCGTGGCCATGCCACACAGTCCTCATCCCATGTAGCTGTGCCACGAGGTCCCTGTCCCGTATGGCTGTGCCATGCAATCCTTGTCCCATGTAGCTGTGCTGTGAGGTCCCTGTCGTGGCCATGCCACATGGTCCCCAACCCACATAGCTGTTCTGTGAGATCCCTGTCCCACACATTTGTACCACACAGTCCCTGTCCCACATAGCTGTGCCACGAGGTCCCTGTGCTGCAGAGCTGGGCTGTGCAGTCCTGTCCTACATGGGATCCCTGTCCCACCTGGGATCCCTGTCCCGTGTGGCTGGGCCATATGGTCCCATCCTGGGTAGCTGTGCTGTACCGTCCCTGTCCTTTCTCACCGTGCCACACGGTCCCTGTCCTGTGTGGCTGTGCTGTAAGGTCCTTGTCCTGTATGGCTGCACCACACAGTCCCTGTCCCCTCTAGCTGTGCCATGCAGTCCCCACCCTGCACAGCTGTGCCATGCAGGCCCCTGCGCTATGTGACAGAGCCACGCAGGCCGTGCCACGCCACGGGCACAGCCGTGCCACGCGGGCCATGTCATACCAGCCATACCATGCCCGCCTGTCCTGCCTAGTGCCCTATGCCCCTGTGCTTCATAGCTGCGATGTATAGTGCCCATTTACATGCCTGTGCCATATAGAACCCACTTATGTGGCCGTGCCATATAGTGCCTGTCCTGCCAGCTGTGCCCTATTGGCCGTGTCCAGCCCAGCTCTTGCCCATCCCCGTCTTCTCCCATTAGGAAGCCCCTAAGCGGAGACCCAGGGCACCATGGCAAGTGTGGGGACACATCCTTGTGTGGGGACACAAGGATTACGGCGCGGCCACCTCTGCCRTTCCCTTTGCATCCCGGGGGCAGGACGCCCGAGGAGAGGGGAGGGTCCTGCTGACTGACAGAGGGGCAGAAAAGGCGCTAAAGGGTCAAGGGAGGGTTCGTCCCCGTTATCTGCACCGGGGCTAGGGCACTGTCGTAGCAGAGGTCCCTCGAGGACCTGCTCTTGCCCTAGCGATGGGGATAGCGCTGCAGCCACCCTGTCCCTGCCAGGGCATGGGGACATGAGGATTCRCTCCCCTGGGGCAGCCGGGGCTCAGCCAAGGGCCTCCCATGGTGTCACACTYGTGCTCTGCCCGCCTGGCACCTCTCCTGTGCGCAGTGCCATCGTCCCCCGAAACCGCAGCGCTGGGTGACGCGGAGGGAAGGGGCCACAAGGGTCTCCCARGGTGAGACGGGCACCGCGGCCCCGCTGTGGTGCCGAGCTCCTCTCACCGCGGTGCCCCCGGGTGCAGACGGGGTCAGGGCCGCCGCCGGCCGCGCCGGGCCTGCCGGAAGCGCTGGTGCCGGCCGGGCGCGTGGCGCCCAACGCACGTCCGCCCAGTTCCGCTGCAGGAGCCCCAGCCGCCGGGGCGGGAGCTGAGACCTGCCAGCTCGTGTCGTGAGTGCTGCGCAGCAGGGAGGTGCCTGGGGCCGGAGGCTGGTCCCGACGGAGCCGCCGCGGCCGCGCAGCCGCCCGCCCTGCGCCCCGCGGACATTGTTCTCCCGCCGCTTTGTTTGCTCGGGGGCGCTTTGATCTGGTGCGAAAAAACAGGAATCACCCCCCCATGAACCCCCCCGCGCCGGGTCCCCGTCTCGCCAGCCCCACATCCACGCGCCGGGGAGACGCAGCCGGACCTTCCCGGCTCCCTATTTTTGTCTGGGCAGCACCAAGGGAGGGAAGGAGACTGGAAATAATAATGCGCATTTTCTTTTTTTTTTTTTTTCTTTTCCTTTCTTTTTTATTTTATTATTATTTTTTTTCTCTCTCCTGAGTACAAAAATAAACCCGTCCTTATCTGATGGACCCCGGCGCAGGCTGGGCCCGGCCAAGCGCCCTTATCTGATGGTTCCCTAATGCTGGGGCTGGGCACCGGGGCGGGCACCGAGGCCCCTGGCAGCACCTCTGCCCGGTGCGGGGGATACCCAGCCCTGCCATGCAGCCCATGGCAGGTGTGATGAGCTGCGATGTCTCAGTAGCGCCCACACCGGACCCTCATCACCAGCCATGCGGGGCCTGAGCTGCACCCGTACTGGGGTGCCGGGGTGCCCCGCGGCGCGGGGGAAGAGGCCGCTGCCTGCGGCGCCCAGATAAGCTCCTGTTTATCTTCCTCCCGATGCTGCCGGCCGCGCGGCCGCGCTCGGCGGAGCGGGAGGAAGCGCCGGACAATAGGTGGGCGAGAGGCAGCGTCAGCGCCGAGGCCTGCGCCCTGACCCGGCCGCGGGGCCGCCACGCCGGCCATGCCACCGCGGCCGCGATGTTCCCCCGGGACGCAGCCCGCGGCCCTGCCGGAGCTGCTGGGATGCACCTCGGAACACGCCGGAGGTGCCCGTGTCTCCGCTGGGGCAGAAGGGTCCCCGTCTCGGCGCCCTCCCGCCTGGCGCCCGCGTGGTGGCAGCTGGGTGCCCGGCGCTGGCACGCGGCCCGCGGCCTCACCAGTGCCGGGAGCCTCCGGGGAAGGGACGGGACRGGAAAGGAAGGGACAAGGCTCCGTGGCAGGTCACCTCCAAAGCAAACACGGCGCCAAGACAGAGCCCCGGGCGCCTCCGCTGCCCCTGCGTGCATCCCGAGGCAGGAGTGACGCAGGGTGGCRCTGGGCTGCAAGGGACACGCGATGTGGCATCTCCCCCCGCGGGCGCAGCCGGCGGCCCCGGCGCAGGATCCGCAGCAGGGGAAGCGGATGAGGCGCGGAGGCTCTGCAGGATCAAACAGCTCCCTGCATGCAGGATTTCCCTTGGCAGCGGCGGCCCCGGCCCGCACGGGCTGCTCCCTGCGCGTGGATGTCCCCGCAGGCTGCCGAGGGGCTGCGGCCCCCAGCCCTGCGCTTCCTTCCCGCGCCGGCTGCGCCGGGCCCGGCCAAGCGCGAGGTCTGGCACGAGGCGGGGCCGAGCCGGGACGCAGAGGTTGTTTTTTTTTTTACTTTTTYCCAAACCGGATCCGAGCTTCATTAGCCCCGTCCTGCCGGGGTCGGCGGGGGATTTGGCGTCGTGACACCTCTGCGGAAACGGGAACAAATTCCTCAAGCGAACAAGCGCCAGCTCATCCCGAGGCGGCTGCCAYGCTCCGGGCAGGGGGATCCGGGCGGGATGGGGGGGCTGTGATCCCACTGAACCCCGAGTGACGGTCGCTTGTTTTCCCGCAGAGCCCGGGAGCGCCGCGGGCTGCGAGCTGCAGCCGGTGCCRGCGGCGCCGCTCGTCACGCTGTCCTACACGACGGGCACGGTGGCGCGGGGCTGCGTGAGCCGCGGCTCGCTGCACGCCGCGCAGGAGCTGCACGTCCTCAGCGTGAGGGCGGCCAAGGTGAGCGCGGCCGCGGCACGGCGGGCACCGTGGCTGAGTGGGGCACACGGGGGGCACAGTGGGGCTGAGGCCTGGTGCTGGGCCACGCCGGGAGCAGTGGGCACCGGGATATGTGTCCTGCTGAGCTGGGAAGCGCCAGGCACCCAGGCACGGTGTCATCCCAAACCAGGGAGCATTGGGCACCTGGATATAGGATCACGCCCAGCTGAGGAGTACTGGATACCCAGACATGGTGCCATCCCAAACCAGGGAGCACTGGGCACCTGCTTATGGGGTCATGCTGAGCTGGGCAATGCCGGGCAGGAAGGCATGGTGCCATCCTAAGCTGGGCAGCACCCAGAGACAATGCCATCCCAAGCCAGGCAGCACCAGGCACCTGGATATGGGATCATGCTGAGCTGGGGAACACCAGACAACCAGACACGGTGCCATCCCAAGCTGGGGAGCACCAGGCACATGGACATGGTGCCATCCCAAGCTGGGGAGCACCAGGCACATGGACATGGTGCCATTCCAAACCAGGGAGCACCAGGCACCTGGATATAGGGTCATGCCAAGCTGGGGAGCGCTGGGCACCCAGATATGGTGCCACCCAAACTAGGGAGCACTGGGTACCTGGATATGGGGTCATGATGAGCTGGGGAGCACGAGGCACCCAGACACGGTGCATGGCACAGCTGGGGAGCACCAGGCACCTGAACGTGGTGTGGCGCAGGGCCAGGCAGTGCCGTGCGCCCGGACACGGCGCCCCGTGTCCTGGCTGTCAAACCCGCAGCCGTTTCCTGCGCGCGGGGAGCCGCGGTGCAAACAGCCTGACCTTTCGCTTGATGCGTTTCCCTGGCCTCGCGGCACTTCCCTTCCAGCTAAGCTGGGGACAGGGGGGATGTCGCTGAAGAGGGGAATTAAACTGCTTCAAGGCCACGTTCCTATCAGCCCGTGCTGCGGGGACTGTCCCCTGCGTGTCACAGGGCCTCCCCTTTCCTAGGGACAGGAGCACTGCAGTTTCTTGCACCGCAATGCGCTCGACCAGTCCCCAGGCCGCCAGGCGCCGGCRGCTCCCGGTTCTGCTTTTCGGGGCTGGGGGAAGGAGAAGCTGTTGCCCGCTGGCCGGGGCTGCTGCGGCACCAGCCGAGCCACACCAGTGCTTCCCAAAACACCACATCCCGCCCCACAGCATCCCCATGGCCAGCTGCATCCCGAGCCTCTCCACGCGCTCCAGGAGAACCAACCTCTTCCTTTCCTCTTAGCCCCTTTTTCACCCACCACCCACCTTGCACCCGTGCCCAGGGCCACCTTCACCCCCAGCATCACATCAYATAGGGACAAGCTTGGCCGCGCAACGTGGCCCCTCTCAGCATTTTTACCCTTTTTCCTCCCGTCTGCACCCCAAGGACAGTGTCCTGCCCAGAGGGCACCGCCGAGGCCAAAACCTTGAAAGCTGTAAACAAACGGCAGGGCCGGGGTCCCCGCGGGCGGCGGGGACAAGGACTGATGTCAGGGCTGTGGCATTCAGACAGCCGGCACCGGGCCCCGCYGCGCGCGGGGGGAGCCGGCCGCGGCCCGGCTCCGCTTATAGAAGAATTACTGGAAGCCGGTTTCTATAAGCAGAAGCCGCGAAGCGAAAAAAAAAATAAATAAATAAAGGCAAAATAATTTTATAAAGGCCACGCCGGGCTAGACGCAAAGCGCCCTGCGCTCGGCGGCCTCCGAACAATGGGGCCACAAAACACGCGGCGGTAAAAATAGCCGCGGGCTCCTCCTCGCTGGGGCCGCCCGGGGTCCCCGGCCACCCACGCGGTGCCGCGG